TGGCCATAGACCCCATCTCCCGGCCACCATGTGCTGCAACACAGTGCAAAACGCAGTAGTGCAATATCATGCACTACTTTTTTCACCACACCACAAGGTACTGTGGTACTACAGCAGACAGCAGCCACGAGGTGCGTTGGGGTTCCATTCAAATGAACGTAACACACACTAGGTGCGTTGTGCGATAGTGTGAGATTAACGCAGCGCTATGGTGTGAATGGGCCCTAAGACCTCGCTTTCAAATAGAGGAGACACACTTTGAACTCAGTGGTCTGGGTTATTAAATAACACTGCCAAACTCATTCTGTCCTTGTCTGACTTCAGCAGTAAATTCTGATCAGTTGCTATGGGTTACGACACTTACAAATTAGCAGTTATTAGGCAGAATGTCTTCTTACATTTTGCATTGCTGCACAAAGGGATAACTTTTCATACGGAAAATCTCTGTCAGTTTATGCAGATTACGATAATTATCTGCTTTGTCATGTTCCCTCTGTATATGGCTAGCTAAGCATAGGATGGGATACAATGTTGTTTAATTCACCCAAAATCACAATACTAATTAGGGTTGCACAGATACCAAGTACAGTACTCGGTACAAGTACGAGTACAAGTACCGATACTTTTGAGCTCCAAGACTACACTAGAGAAAAATTCAAAAGTTAGGAGGCAGCTGTCATTTGTAAGGAGCACACGGAGCTCCCGGAATTTGTACATCTCTGTTTTAATGTATGATTTGTTTTTATAAATATAAATAAAGGGATGCACCGATACCAGTTTTGCGAGTACGAGTACTGGTACTTGCCGAGTACTTACAAGTACGAGTACTGATACATTTTTTGTTTATTGTCATGTGACAGTTTTTTAAAAACAATACAGACTAATGATTTCAGGACAGTGGTGGTGCGCCAGAGCCAGGTCCCAGCTGCAACCGCTGCAACCCTGGTAGTTCTCATGAAAATGCCAAGTATCTGCACTGGTACTCGAAAAGTATCTGTGCATCCCTAATACTAATCATTTGTAAAAAATTATTCGATATTAAAACCTAAAATCAGGCTCACATTTGGAATGCCTGCACTATCACGTACCTGGCTGGAAACTGATTGGATGAGGAGGCTACCCTTGCACCTTGTGTCCCCTGAACTCTGAGGATGGGAACTGAGCCTGAGAAACAGCAAGTAGCATGAGTGCCAGTGGATGGGGCAACTACGTGCCAGGCAGAAGTCTAGAATCAGGATCAGGTAAAGCAGACCCAAGGTCACACCGGGCAGACAGCAGGGTACCAGAGCAGTAGGCAGAATCTAGGTCAGACAAGCCAGGGGTCACACTAGTAGGGCAGCAAAGTACAAGGGATGAGGCAGAAGCAAGGCCCAGTAACAATTCCAAGGTCAGAAGGCAGGCAGCAATCAGGAGCAGTCAGGTTCAAGATACAGGAGCAGAAATCAGGCAGAACCAACAGGATCACAGGGACAAGCTGAAAGACCATTCGGCAACTAAGCCCAGGCCGTGCTTACTTTAAATAGGGTGCGCTCGCTTTCCTATGGTACGCACATGAGCAGTAGACCTGGTTACCTTACAATCACATAAGAATGAGGAACACCGAAGGATGCCATTGCTTGAAAAAGCAGGCAGAACTGCAGGCTCTGATAGGTGTCACCTACCTTACACTATGCAGCCATATCAGACAGCAGGACTGAGCAGAATACAAGAGTATATACATTGCTTTAAAAACCTTTTGGCAGAAGAGAAAGTTTCTATGAACTTCAGCTGCAAATATTTGCTTGGAGCTCTCTTTGAAATGCTTTCTATAATTGGTGAATAAAGGTAGCGTGACATACTGGTTTGGGTACTGATGGAGGTATTTAGGACAAGTGATTGGAATATGGACTTTGTTTTCACTAGCTAATGTCTTGATGAATGGTTAGGTAATCCAGCTGGTAAGTCTACAGACCATTTCCCAGAGGAGACAAACGTGAATGTGAAGGATTCATGATCTGGACCGTGGCTCAACTAAATTACTATGTATCAGTTTCTGCTTGGTGGTTATAAAATAAAGAAAATCTGCCACTGAAATGAAAATCTGTGATTGTCATGCTTCTGTGGGCACAGCATTTATATGATACAGACATGAGGTTTTGGGTTTATTTGGTGAAATACAATTTCTTGGCAAAGGGCTGGTCTAAGGATTACCAAGAATAAATAAAACAGGATTTGCAAGTGGCAGTTTAGCTTAGTCAGTGGCTCAACAGTTAAGGCAGTGCTTAGTTTATGAAAAGCCTGAAGTGTCACTGATTTCTGAACAAAAAGATGATTTAAATTGATGATTTAAATTACTTCTAATATCTAAAGGAATATTTTACCTCATCTGGTCTGGTCATCAACACATTTTTCTAAAGGTAAGCATGATCAGCTATAGGATTTGCACAATCACTACTGCTCCCAACTTTCTGGATTATAGGGAGACTATATGAGTACAACAGAAAAAGCCGCATAGTGACCTCCAATGCAGGAATGTGCTAGGCCTATACATTCTATTTCGTTATGTTAAAAAAATAAAACAAGTAACACGAGGGGACATCAAATCTGTTGCAAAGCAAGGTGGCGCTAAACAGGGACAAGAGAAAGATTTGAGAGAAATTTGAGACAGATTTATAATTGGGCAGCTTCATTCATACATTCCTCCCTCTGCTGCTCTAAAGTAGCCCTGCAACCAAATAAAACCTGGCCCTGGCCACTTCCAAACTGTGCATCTGTTTTGTGTCATTTTCTGCCGATATGTTTCGGCGGCCGATCTATCGGTGCATCCCTAAACATAATAATTCAATGCATATAGTGTCTAGATAGGCGAGATCTGAACCCTGGACCCACAACGGCAAGACAAAAATCCTAACCTAATAGCCACTGTACTGTGAAAGTGAACAGCTTATTACAAATCATTTTATCAGTGTGTATTAATTTGTTTCTATATCTTCTTTTTTTTTTTAATTTTTACCATTGTTGTAACATGGATGTTTAGGAAGTAGACCAGACTTTAATACAACCCAGCTCACATGTACATTAAAAGACAACAGTGTACCCCTTTCTCTTGAAAGAAAAGCTGTGGCAGTGGATATATGGTGTAAGGTTTGGGAAATAAAAATAAAGGTTATGTCTTATCGGTGCTAGGGTTTAGGACAAGCAGTGTAGTAGGCATGTCACTGCTAGATTTCATATAAAAATGAAGGAAGAAGTACATCCTTCACGTTTCCAGTGCAGTATGGGAACATGAAAGGAAGAATCTTATTTGGTGATCCATGGTGCTTAGGAACATTTCTTATGTAAGCTTGTGATGTTAAAGCTTTCTAATGAACTGACATCATGTATGGGCTGAAGCCAACAAATGACTGCAACCTCTATGAATAAATGTCAATAATTAAGGCAAGAAATAGATCTAAACCACCAAAATCGTCTTAATATAAAAATACATTTAACATGCAATTAACCCTTTCGCTGCCAAGCCCTCTGGAACATTTTTCAAATCAGCTGGCAAAGGGTTAAAGAAAAAAAAAATCTATAAAAAGCATCCTAATCATTAGAAGGAATTCGAACCAGGCAGAACTTTGTGTCTATTCCGTAGGGAATATAAAGCCTGCAGGACAGATTTTTGTCTCTCAAGCCTCGTATAAAGTGACAAACAGTTCAATATGTGATTCTAACATAAAAAGCATGAACATGTGCTTGAACTACCCTTTATACAAAGCTAAAAATATAAACACTCCCAGCACAATAGAAAGAGCTCTGCATCTGGTTAGAAAAAGTCAATATTAGTGCCAAAAGCTGAAATAATCTTACTTGTTAATGTAAGCGAGTGACAAAATTATTTAGAAAATTTAGCAGAAACATATGGTTGAGCCTTGGGAAAATGGCTTGCTTAGCCACTTTGCGTACCAGCCTGTATACACCCCTTCTTTATCAAGGCCAGATTTCGAGGCTGCGATAGTTTGACTATTGCCCAAACCTAAATTAATTTCATATCATTTGAGACAGAGCTTGCTATTGGTGCTATTTAATAACCACTACTTTTTTTTTAATTCTTTACTATATAAAAGGAAAAAAGAACAAACATTGTGAAATATTCATAAATAAATAAATGTCCTTCTCCCGGCTGTTTTTTCACAATATGACGGAAGGGAGGTGGTTAAACAGCAAAGACATTAAACAGTGAATCTTTTGGCTGGAATAGAAACTGCAAAATGCTTGTGGCTACCAAGTGAAGAGCTATGGGCCAAACTATTTACACCGAAAAAGAAGATGCCTCACGCCTCAAACTTTTCATAGGGTGTCTGGCAATTCAGTCATGCTGTCAGCACCATTCCTGTTTTATGTTGAATTAACAAATATCTTCCAAAACAGAAACTGGTTAAACATGATACGATAAATCAATATTAACCGACATTGCCGTAAGTTCAAACAGCCCCATGATACATTTGTCCAGATATTTGGCAATACAAATCTGTAATACTGAGATGTTTGCTTCCAAGCCAACTTTTGATATCTTGCAGGGGCCACTGTGACCAACTCAGTGGGAAGACATGCATTGCTATGTGCACCCTGTGGCACCTCAAGTCCTTTGCGCTCTGTGCAGTAGCAGAGAATGTAAAGGCATTACATTCATATACACACAATCAAACATTATGTTTCACCTATTTTGAATTCGGAGAAGACACTGATCAGACAAGGAGCGCTGGCTGACCCAAACACAGCACAACAATTGCCAAATCAGGTGTGTTGCGTCAAACTCCTACATAGTGAAACAAACACTACCTCTATCATCTCTACAATAATATAACCTCTTAAAATGTTTATTAAGTCAAAATATCAAATTGTGCAAAAAATTAATTTTTACCAGCTTGACCTTTGTGCTGTCCAACAATTGTATATCTTTACCCCACAATACATGTTATTTACTGAACATATGAATTGCAGGAAGTCTTTTTGGGGACCTTGTGTTTTTCGCTTACCCATATCAACAGTAACCATAGTGGACTGATTCTCCAGCACAGAGACAGAGGTCTGGTCTTGGTCTTGGTCTATACTGCGGGAATCATCATTTACTTCAAGCTGGCTGTGACTGTGTTCTGAGCGTAGCTCTGAGTACTCATCTTCCTCCCTGCAGAACAGAGACAAACACACAAATATAATATCATACTTCGAATCATGGACAAGTGTTAACTTCTGCTTTAAAAGTGTCTGCTCAAACTGTATTGTTCATACAGACTGATGAACATTTTTACAGTGTACAGTAACGCAAGGATGTGCAGAACACTTAGGGAACCAATTATGGTGTGTAGTGATAATACAAATCCCTATATATGCCTGATAAATACAAAAATATCATATTCTATAAAGGAATATGTTGAAGCTTATACAATATGGTAGCAGGCTGGTAAAATGTAGTGTGTAGGCTTAAAAAAAAAACCAAAAACTTGCTGGCTCCTGGATAGGACAAGCTGGCTCCTGAATTTCAAATTCATTTGTCCAGCCCTGAGCTAAACTGTCACAAACATTGTTCCAATGAGAGATTTGTGGGGATCAGCAAATATTGTGCATACTGTTCTGGGTGTGACCTCAAACCCCAAATGCATATATGTAATGTGTTTACAATTCTTATATGGTCATTGATCTAACATTACACTGCTCCCAGGATGATGAGGACATTAATATATTTTTATTATACAGGATTTTTATAGCACCAACAGTTTGCTCAGCGCTTTACAATATAAGGAAGACATTACAATTACAATACAATTCAAGACAAGATGGTAAGGAGGGCCCTGCCCTTGAGGCCTTGCAATCTAAAGGGAAGGGCAAGTGATACAGGAGGAGGTAGCTGTGTGGGAATTGTTTGAGAACGTAATGGTTCAGTGAGGGTGGGATAGGCGTCCCTGAAGAGATGAGTCTTTAGGGATCGCCTAAAGGCAGTCAGAGTGGGAGATAGACGGACAGGTAAAGATATAGGGGTAAAGAGTTCCAGAGGATGGGATTTTATCCTCTGGGCTATGGGAAGCCAGTGCAGGGATTGGCTGAGGGGGGTTGCAGACACTGAGCGGTTGGTTAGGTGGATGAGTCTAGCAGATGCATTCATGATAGACTGAAGGGGGATAGTCTGTGTAGTGGAAGGCCAATGAGGAGGGAATTGCAATAGTCAAGACGAAATATAACAAGTGAGTGGATGAGTAATTTTGCGGATTTATTGGGAGGAAGGGGCGTAGTTTGGAGATGTTACGAAGGTGAAGGCGCCGGGATTTGGATAGTGATTGGATGTGGGGCAGAAAGGTGAGTTCCGAGTCAAGGATGACACCTAGCACCTTGGCGTGGAGGGAGGGTTGGATAGTTGTTTTATCAATCTCAAGGAATGATGGTAAAAGGCAGCTCAGCTCCCACTACAAGTTGTCTTCAGTTCACCTGATCAATTACTGTGATTCAAACTCACACAGAGCAAAGCCAGATAGTCCTCTCAATAGTATTATAATGTAAAACAGCAAACAGGGCTTTTCAAAACAAACATGCAAGCAGGGAAGGAATCCAGCATCAGTTACAAGGAACAGTACCTAACTAATTGGCCAGGATATTAACTACGTAGGTAGAGGCTGACCAACTCCCATATGCTTTACATGTGAACATTAATGTATCATGGCCCACAGGAGGAGGCCCAGAGACTAGAACCTGGCTGTTAAAAGATTGGGTTGTATTACGCAAAAATGGTTCCGCTTTAGAAAACCCACTGGAAAGCAAACATGTCTGTGGGTGGTTGAGGAATGATCAACAGTTCCTGACGGTGATAGCATATGAGCCTCCTGGATGCTTTGGGGGGCAGATAAATGGGCTTTTCTGTTTAAATGGAAAATCTCTATTGTTCAAAATGTATAACCTATGCTCTGCAAAGAGCACAAAGTCAACAACGTGCAGCAAAAGCTAACATACCATATCAACACTGAGCATATGAAACAATATTAGGGCTGCAACAACTAAATCGACATAATCGATTATAATCGATTATTGAAAAAGTTGTCAACTTTTTCAATAATCGATTAATCGGCTTCCCATAAGTTGGCCCTGTTCACAGCTCAAATCACATATGCAACAGATCCTCAAGGGCTGGAACATTTATATATCTGTGTGGGAGGGTGTGGGGGCTGGACTTTTCCAGTTCTGTGCCTTCCAAGAGAACAAAGTATTAACCTCCCTGGTGGTCCGATTTTTTTTTTTCTGTTTTTATTTTTTCGCCCCGTTATTTTTATTTTTAAAATTCCCGCCGGTTCCGCCCCTTTCTACGCAGACGCTCGTAAGGGACGGAAACCGGAAGGCGGATGCCGGCATCGGCCGGAGGACACAGCGCGGCTCAAGGGACAAGGTAAGTAACGCTATGCTGTAATCCCGAGTGTGGCTCGGGTTACCGCTTATGGTATTGAAAATTAACCCCGAGCCACACTCGGGATTACCACCAAAAGGAGGTTAAACAAGGGGTAGACAACCTTGGCACTCCAGCTGGAGTCATACATGTGGTGGTCAGAGTCTTTCAATGCACCACGGTTGCTTACCACTGGATTAAACATTTCCTGAACATGAACAATCTGTGACCAATCCAGATGTACACAAACTCACAGAATTATATTATGGATGTCATTTTTGCAGTGGACAGAAGAAGAGGACTTAGACCAATAGTTGGCAATTAGTTATTGTCAGATGGCCACAAATTTAAATTCTTTTTGCTTTTCAAACGGAAAAAAAAGAAATGTATTGCTGTGCAATTAATTAGTAGTTGATTTAATTTACAAAGGAATAGAGCATATATTCCCTTTGCAAAGCAGGTTTTCACTTAGCTTAGTGAATGAGGTGAAATGAAAATTAACTTTACAAAAAATACCCAATCATGTGCAGGGAAAAGCTGAAAAAAAATGATTTCTCTGCAGCAATACTGGAAGACTGGAGCAAGGTGAAAATTTACTTTGCTAAGAGACCAGCTAAACAAACAACCCAAGGTGTCTATAAAATCACCACACAGCACTAGTTGTTACACTTATGGCAGCAGTGAATCTATTTCTGATTTCACTGCAGGGCCAAGCAATTAGCACATGGAACCATGTAACGCACCTACCATGTGTTAACAGTGCGGGAGGTGTGTTGTGTTGCTATTCATTTGAATGGCACCCCCAAACACACCTCCCACCAGCAATGTGATCAACCGATTTGAAACACGCGGTAACGCAATAAAGTGTGGTGCATGCACTACTTTTTTAAACTGCATCGCAACACTGTGGGGGAAATTTATCAATACTAGAGCAAACAGAGTCTGGAGCAGTTGCCCATGGCAATCAATCAGCATCTCTCAATTTGCTCAGGTAAGATTTGAAAATGAGAGAAAGAAGCTAATTGACAGCAGTGCAAATCTGCTCCAGACTTAGTCTGCTCCAGTTTTGATAAATTCCCCCCACAGTATTTTATGAGGGGGTAAGTAGAGATATGGACGGAGGTAAGCCGGTGGATGTGGTATATCTGGATTTCTCAAAGGCTTTTGATACGGTACCACACAAATGCTTGCTACACAAGCTGAGGGCTATGGGCATAGATGAGGTGGTGTGTACGTGGATAGAGAACTGGCTACGGGAACGTGTCCAGAGGGTATCTGTAAATGGCACCTTTTCAGACTGGGCTAGTGTAATGAGCGGTGTGCCTCAGGGTTCTGTGCTGGGTCCCATATTGTTCAACTTATTTATTAATGACATCGGGGAGGGTGTTAACAGCGATATTTCCGTGTTTGCGGATGACACCAAAATAGGGAGGGTAATAGACATGGACTTAGACACTATAACATTACAGGAGGACCTGGATAAAATAGGGGAGTGGGCATTAATGTGGCAGATGAGGTTTAATGTCGATAAATGCAAAGTAATGCACTTTGGAATTAAAAATAAACAAATGGGTTATACAATTATGGGTATGCCGCTGGGGAAGTCAGAAATGGAGAAGGATTTGGGGGTCATTGTAGACCACAAACTGAAAGGTAGTTTGCAGTGCCAGGCTGCTGTAAACAAAGCTAGCAGGGTCTTGTCCTGTATTAAAAAGGGGATGTATTGCAGGGACAAGTCTATAATTTTGCCACTTTATAGATCATTGGTTCGACCTCATCTGGAGTACGCGGTCCAGTTCTGGTCACCAGTACTAAGAAAAGATGTCCTTGAGTTGGAAAAAGTCCAGCGAAGGGCAACCAAACTAATTAGGGGTATGGAGGACCAGAGCTACGAGACGAGGCTACTAAATTTAAACATGTTCACATTAGAGGTGAGGAGATTAAGGGGGGATATGATTTCCATGTACAAAATGTTTAATGGTGGTAGCAACATTAGCGATAAACTGTTTAAAATTAACTCCGTTACAAAAACTAGAGGCCATCACCTAAAATTGGTGGAAAAAAAATTCCAGCACAAGGGGCGAAGGGGGTTCTTCACAGTAAGATCAGTTAGGGTCTGGAACTCACTGCCACAGGCGGTGATTTCAGCAAATAATGTGGAATTGTTCAAGAAACTTTTGGACGATTTCTTAAGGGACCGTAATATACAGGGGTACAGGTACTCCTAGAATTAGATCCTAATAGGTTGGACTTGATGGACTAATGTCTTTATTCAACCTCAAATACTATGTATTGCCGTACCGCATGGTCGATTGTGCATGGCAATGCAACGCACCAAAGTAGTAGTGGAGGGGCACCACTTGTGACATCACAAAAAAAATAATACATGCAAAGCCTTTTAGGTTGTAAGCCCTCACGGGCAGGGCCCTCCTTACCATCTTGTTCTTAATTGTATTGTGATTATAACGTCTTCCTTATATTGTAAAGCGCTGCGCAAACTGTTGGCGCTATATAAATCCTGTATAATAATACATGCAATTTTTCCACATTATCCCTTTAACCCTTTCAGTTGGCCCTTTTAGTGGGCTGTGATGGCAGGTTCACACCATTTTCCGGACCAGATATGCCTGCAGTTTCAGTGCATTCCAGACCAGACAAAATGAGACAAGCAGTATTTTTCTGGTCTGGTCTGAAACGGACTGCGCTGGTGTAAACATAGGCCACAAATAGTATAGGGATACATTAGGATGCATTTTGGGTCCGGAAACAATCTGATCTGGAGATGCTCTAGATGTGGTGTGAATGGGCCTGAAGCCAGAGGCTGGAAGGAGAGCCCCCCCCCCATTATGTAATCACTTTAATTGGCTGCACAGTAAAAATGTAATCAGGAGATGGTAGGACGATCGGAAGCTGGCTGTGTGCCAATGGTGGACAGCTCTGTCACAGTTCTGGGAGCACTGGTTATGCACGCCCATAGAATACAGTGACGAATACATGTTGCAGCTTTGCTTTAGGGCCACCTCACCGGTGTCACATTTATGTGTGATGCTAGTGAGAAGTGGTTTAACATGCAGCAGGAACAGAAAAATAACTGTTGATGTGCCGGAAATATAGTGCACCCCTACCTACCTTGACATGAAAACACAGGTTTGCCTTTCTGCAAGAGCTTCCTGTAATAAAGACTAATCACTGCTGCTTTCCCTCCTTGTGCAGGGTGACTGGTCTTGTATCCACCCCCGCCTGCTGGCAGCTAGCAGTGGGTGGAGTCTATTTGGTCCCTCCCACAGCTCTGCGCTCTCCACAGGTTATGCGCAGAACATTAATGTCACTTCTGCTTTTACAAAGTAATAGCTACATTTGCAAATGAATTTGGTGCATACAAAGTGGATGTATATACACTGTGCCTATTGAGGATTATATTTCAATAAGTTTTTGTGCCTGGAGGTCAACTATAATAAATAGCAGTGTTTTTACTATGTTGTGATCTGATGATTCTAAGCTTTCATGTCTCATTTCCAAATTCCACTTCAGATTCCTGCCCTCAAGCTCATCCTGGTCAAATGACTGTTTTCAATGACCACAAAAACACATGTACATTGTTCTTTGATGCTGTAATTAATGTCATATTTTCTTTCTAGGGCTATGTAAACAAATTACTGATTTAATGTCCAAACTGTCAAAATCTCTTTAAAGTAGTTCTGCAATTACAATTATCTGATTTTAATTCAGGAAAACAATCCTTAAGTGCAAATATATAATAACCAGACATGATGTGTTAACAGGTTCCTCTCAGACTTTACATTACTAATCCCACCCATACGCTCCACGTTTTCCCTAAGTCTCAAAAACAGATTCTATAATCATACACAGCGTATGAAATAAATCAGAGAGAAGTGAGTATTTAGAAGCAGCAAAATCCATGCGGGTTGCATAAAATAGCTTTTCACAAAATAGTTGGGTGTGTGATAGTTTAGATAAACAGCTATTGGCAGAGAAATGAAAATGATCCACCCAGTAAGCCGGCACATCAAGAACAAAATGGAAAATGATCCACTCAATGTGCCGGCACATCAAGAACAAAATGGAAATGATCCAACCAAAGTGACGGCACATCAAGAACAAAATGGAAATGATCCAACCAATGTGCCTGCACATCAAGAATAAAATGGAAATGATCCAACCAATGTGCCAGCACATCAAGAACAAAATGGAAATGATACAAGCAATGTGCCGGCACATCAAGAGCAAAATGGAAATGATCCAACCAATGTGCCTGGGCATCAAGAACAAAATGGAAATGATCCAACCAATGTGCCGGCACATCAAGAGCAAAATGGAAACAATCCAACCAATGCGTCTGGGCATCAAGAACAAACTGGAAATGATCCAACCAATATGCCGGCACATCAAGAACAAAATGGAAATGATCCAACCAATGTGCCTGGGCATCAAAAACATAATAGAAACGATCCCTTCAATTTGTCTGCACATCAAGATTTTATCTGATCTTAGTTGTTAGATTGCCCATCTGTGCAGTAATCCAAGGGAGCTGAACATTCTTTTGAAGAATGTACTGTCTTTTCTTATAAATATAATAAGAGTTCTTCCTGATGTAAATATTCACATAAACATGTATTAAAGTGTATGTCAAGTCCAAAACCTTTGTTATAGATTTAGTATTGAAGGATTAAAACTCCCATCTGGTTTGCTATCCAGGACTTTGTCCTGCAGAAAACATTTTCACCAGGAAAAAAAAAAAAAGAGACAGTATCTTCCCTTACTCTACAAAGAAAATGTTTTTACTTCGGTCTGTGTTGCTGTTGGAGAGTTACCCTCACTTCCTGTCTAGTAAAACATCAGCAGGACAGGAAGTGAGGGAAGATCTTTACACTATCTGAAACTAATAATATTTTTAACTGGGCATACACTGTAATGATTAATAAACATTATTCTGTATAATATTATATATGTACAAGAGGATATTCATATTTGCTCATTACATATGCAGCCTACGCTTTCTGCTTCTATGTACTACCGAATTATTGTATTTTTTAATATTCCTCATCACAATGCGAGTCCTCAAGTTTCCATCTTGTTAAACACAATTCACTCCTAGCATGGATGAGATCTTACAAAAACAACATAAAGTATATGTAAAGCCTAACAATGAACTTCTCTTATTTGCCCTTTTTGATCTGTTAAAGCATAACTCTAGGATTGACCCCGACACTCTCCCACCACCATCCAAAGACAATTTTTTTATTATTATTAATTTAAGTCTCTATGCAAACATTTTCTCTTGATGTATTCTTGCTGGTCCTTTTAAGTCATCCCCAGCATCTTCTTCTTCCAACTGCACTGGGGGGGGGGCATTCTTCCACGACTGACATGTGAGCATCACTCCTGCAGTCCAGCCTGAGTGAGGAGACAGGATGTAAACAGACTGGACTTAAAGGAAATGGGCAGAATGACAGAGGATCTCTGGTGCTGGACCATGGAGGACACCAGGGAGTGCGCTGAAGCATGGAGAGGGTACATAGACAATTGCAATATTTTTCCCCAATATGGGTAGGGGGAAAGGGGGGCCTGGGACCTATAGGAAAAAAACATTAGGTGGAGCTCTATAACCATAGAAACCTTGTGAAACTATAACTTCATGTGCTCTTTGACTCTACTGCACTAGTATCAGTTACATTGTTCTAAGCTATCTCTAAAAAATAAATAAAAAACAATTCATGTAAATTTATATACAGAGTATCTACAATTCTATACATTATTTTCAAGCAAGGGTGAAAATGGCCCGCCGCACAGATCCTTGGAAATAACTTTCAATAACTTGGTTCACAAATATGGTGGTCAATCACTGAATGGAGGTCGATACTCAATTGGAAATAGTAGGGTTGACGTCACACTGGCAAACAAGGTGCTGGTAACAAAGTCAATGGCAGGATCACCTAAGAACAACTCTGCTTTATTTATTTAATGGGCGTCATTCCCTGGTGACAACACTGCTAAATCTTGATCACTGGTAACAAAGTATAAAGAAAGTAAAGTGGTCCAATAAAAGACGAAGTGGTCTCAGCGATTCTGCCACCTGTGAGTTGTCTCTGTCTTTTCCTAACACCGCTGCTGCCTTGTGTTATGAAATAAATATCACAGACATCATGAAGAAAACAAATGATTAGTCATACAGCCATGCCAAATCATAAGAAAACTATAGACTGACACAGTGATAGTTTGTTATGCCTAATAGAAATGATAATAGAAACATTATCATATATACATATGATTTAGCATTTCCCTTCCCAGTTCAGCAATCATTTTTTGATTAGGGTGTTGTCAATGTCACCCTTCATAAACATGGATGTCACAGGTGCCTGTATAAATTAAAACACAGCCAGTATCTACATTCGGTTAGGTTCACACACCCTCTATTTCCGTACTAATCACAATTAATCTGTTAAACAGAAAATCACTGCACACAAGCATAAATAATGAAACCAAGAACTCTAGAGGAAACTTGTATTTATAAAAATGTAAATCTTTAGGTTTCGTTTATACTAGCTATAAATTATACTATACTATAAATGGAAAAATCAACTACTCAGTGGGCAAGCTATGCTCTATTTGTGCATTTAAGGTTACATTTTTAAGTTAGGCCCATCAGAGGTGGAGCAGCCCCAAGTGATAATCCGTCACCATCTAACCAATATTATAAATATAAGTACCTTATTGTTGTCCCTTGAAGTCGGTCAATCTTCTTATTTAATTCTGCAATGATGCTGTGCAGCTCAGTAATTCTTTCCTCATATCGTAATGTTGTCTTCTCCTGTAAGTCCTCATGCTCCCTCATGAGATGTGACTGTTCACACTAATGGAAATTAAGGAAGGAAAAAACACCATCAGTCTCAAAAAATTGCTGGATTTTCATCTGCATTGTGGAGAGAAAAAAAGACGCAAGAATAAGCCCTGAGAGTAAGGCTTTGTTGGAGGTAGGCTGATTTATAAACACCAGCCTCGCCATTGGAGTAACTATGATAATAGAGGAGAAAGGAAATGTATCTCACTGGTGTTTGCCCAGTTTTAATTTCATGTAGTATTTTATGAAATTAGAGCTGCAGCTAACGATTATTTTCAAAATTGATTAGTTAGCCGATTATTAGGTTCGATTAATCGGTTAATCGGATAAACAATAAAATTTTAAAAAATGGCTCCAGTGATAGGACTACTAGTTTGTATTGAGATTGTAGTCCATCACAGGAGCAAGCTTGGAGCGGTGGAAGTAAAAAAGAAGATAGTGTGGTGTGCAATATAGTGAAATGGAAAGCGTAAAATTATATAGCAATGAATGCAGAATGTCACCGGCTAGAGGACTACAAAACCCAGCAATAGTACATTATACAGCACAATGCAGAATACCGCCAGCTATAGAGGAGCCAACTGATCAGAAGCCGATTAATCGATTATTGAAAAAGTTGACAACTTTTTCAATAATCGATTATAATCGATTATGTTGATTAGTTGTTGCAGCCCTATATGAAATGAATGGAAGTTCTATAAAATTGGTGGGCTAAATTAAAACCAAAACTTGAAATGACCTAATGCAGCTGTAATCCAAGGCATAGGTTTTTCTAATTAAGGCTACAGATTTATATCATACAATGAGCACAAAGCAAGAGGATGGCACACTTAGAGGAAACACGTCAATGGTTTCTTGATGCCATGACAATAAAAAATGCCAACACTCATTCAGCTACAAAAAGAGACCCCTTGAAGCAAAATGGGGTAACCTGTTACCGTTGGGACTATTTTTGGCACATTATGTAATGACAACACGTAAGCTATAGCTTGTTGATAATACTACAGGGTGTTTTATTCTCCATGTCAAGTTTTTATTATGGTACAATTACTATGATGTTGTTGCATTTTCCTTCCATCATGTTACTTAGCCCACACCAATTGCTCTCGACCCCCCTAAACATTCTATGCGTGTCATAATAACCATTTCCTGACTGTGTCCATAGCTGTGGTTGAACCTTATTCCCAAGGATATGAATACACATCTGCAAATCACATTAACGCTCAGCACCAGTTTACAACTAAAAAAGTTGTAAAGTACAATACAAACTAGTCAATAACCTGCACGTTTTATTCACCATATCAAAAGTCAGAATAGGTTCTGGGAAAGAAATGGACAGAAAACATGATAGACAAATTATTATGTATTACAAAACATTGAAGTTATGGAGAATTATTGAAGTTTGGTTAATTGCACGGAAAAGAGGAATGATATTGATGCTTTGCTGAAATACATCCAAGGTATCCTCAGAATGGTCTTGTGGGACCTTCAGAGGAGAAGACATGATATTGCATTTGCAGCACACAGATGAGTTTAGCAGAATTTTCAGCTACAATTAATTGGGCAGACATTAACCCGTGAGAAATCGAAGTTTGTGGAAACAAAGAAAACATGCAAAATGTCAAATATTACACTTAAGAGAGAATGAAGTGTGGACGATATTATACACAGTTCTCATGCACTAAACAGTAAGGATACTGCTACCCAGAATGGATTACTATGGATCTGACCACTCGTTAACCATTTTTATGTCAGTTTAAATGTGCATGAGAAATAAAAATGTCAGTCAGATAGGTGGATAAACAGCAGCAGATTGCTATTTTGTTCTGCTGATTAAGCAGAAGTAGGCAGGTGTAGCATTGACTGCTAAATAGCAAGTGTGTCTGGCATTCACTGTCCAGTACATGTACACAGAAATGTACATGACTGTTCATAGTCTGAACGAAATCTGATGGAATGCTGAGAAAGCCCTCGGGTACAAAGTAGTAAACTGATTGGAAGCCAGATTGGACACATGAAGGCTTCCGGGAAAGTAGTAAACTGATTGGAAGCCAGATTGGACACATAAAGGCTTCTGGGAAAGAAAAGGCCAGGCAACTGGCGGAAAAAGGAGTACACATTCCAAAAACATTTTGTTTTAGAAATGACAATTCTAGCATATCAAATAACTTTAAAGCATCTGCAGGCACCCAGTCATGGACGGAGTCGGCATCTCTCTCGGATGCAGACAGTATAGTTGTTGAATACCTACTTAACTTGTTCCTCAGAAGCCATATATGGCTCTCAGCTATTTCAAATTTTGCTCAAAACCATTTAACTTTTATTTGTATGAATACCTATAAACACATTTAGGAATGAAGCCAGTGAGAGCTTATCTTGAAGACGCCATTACATATAACTCTGTGGCTGTTATTTATTACAGGTATTTATATAGCGCTGACAATTTGCACAGCGCACATTCACATCAGTCCCTGCCCTCAAGGAGCTTACAATCTAAGGTCTCTATCTCATAGGTTAAATTACTGCTACTAGCAAATGTGTGGCTGTTTGTTAACTAATCAATTTAGACTGCATGGTTTTGGGCCGCCTTTGAGTTATTTATCGTATACTGGTATACATTATTGCCCAGTCAGACAATATTTTTGCTGGAAATGTATTTGATCAAGTGTGCCATATCGCTAAATTGATCATTGGGGAACAGATAGTGTAATCAGTGTAAGCAGATAGTGAAACTGTATAGAAGGAAGAGTGGAATCTGAACTTGGACCATAGGGAAACAAAGAAGAGGATGAACAGCTGGTTATACATGATGGAGGGTTAGATACTGTAGAGGAGGAGGAACAGCAACTGGCACAGGATGCAGTGTGAGAGTTGCTCAAGGCAGGGAGGGAAAAGAGGAAATACTGTTGGTCATAAAAAATTAGAAAAGGCAAAAAAGGTAAACTAAAAGCAAACCAGGAAGGCTGAGCATGATCAACTATTGGAGGAATACATAAAATGGAGTAAGCATGTTTTGGGGGGCAGTAGAATTAAGTTGGTGGAGGCGGCAGAATGGGAGCTTATTGTTTAGGCCCCAATCACAATTGAGCTGAGCGTCACTTGGTCACTGAGTGTTTGTACAGGCATTTGTGTGAGTTTTTCCGAGCATTGAGCATTACTTTTATTTTTAGCCAATTAAAAAAGATAGTTACTAGGTAAGAATACACGCAAGAAACACGCATTCCGCACATTTATTGCATGTTTTTTTCAGGGGCTCCTATTGATTTCTATTGGGGCCAAAATGCACTCTGCTCCAAACGTAGCTTGTGTACTTTTTTCTTTTTTTTTTAGTGACAGGCATTTTGATACAAGCAACAAAATGCTAATTGAATTCAATGTTGACTCAATGTTAGCCATTGAAAACGTAGCGCTTGTAGCTACAAAATGCTCAGGTGTAAATGTGGTTGCATAGAGGGGAAGGGAGAGATATAGCAGCTAATCCTATACCAATGGGCAAAGATGCACAGGTGGGACTGGCTATGGGCGGAAAGAGAGGGGACAGCGAGAGAAATGACCGTGCATAGGAAGGCAAGGGTCATGTAACAACCATCATTTCTCCCTCTTAGTCTGTGGGGTTGTGGTGCAGCTCTGTGGTAAAGGCCCAGGGTTCAGCACATGCAGGACATCCTGCACATTTATGAATGTTAATGTGGAATGCAATAACTGCCGCAGTGTCTCCACCATAGCAGCCAGAGGAAGGTAGTGACAGCAATCGGCGACAACATACCAAACAAAAGAATGGTGAGCTCAATGTGCTGACAAGGCTGCAGCCATAGGGCTCAGATTTTAAAAATCTTATAAAGCACAGAGGTTTAGAGAGCATGTAGTACTGAATGGAGCAGGCATTATAGTGAAGAGAGATAGGAGATTAGACAGGGGTGTGGATCCGAATACTGCTGCAGAAAATTAAGGAGATGTGCTACAGACTATGGGAGGAAACTCTGGCAAAGAACAAATTGTGGATGGGAGAGAGCGGGGCTTCCAGGGAACATAATAAAGATGGGGAAGGAAGCCATCAGATAATGTAGTGCTGGCACTGAGATGCCAGAGAATGTAGGTGCAGCAGTGGGGGGTCTACCACAGAACCCACTGCAAATAGTGTGGAGAGAGCAGTAAAAGGACAGGACATGGGTCCCTAGGTGGGTGAACAGAATGTTTAATGTTGTGGACACTGCTGGGGAACAAGAAATTTGAGAATGTGAACTCTGAATATTAAAAGGACATCTCTACTATGACATTGGACCTACCAAGTGAACAATGTATGTTCTGGGAACTTCTCACGGCTTCAGTGCAATACTCCAAAAGGGGATTATATGAGAGAGGAGGCAAATTTGCCATTTACATTCATTCCAGGTAATAGAATCATGCAGCAGTAAAAGTTCTAAATCTTTTAAACCACACAGGACTAGAATTCATGTACTGTGAGCAGCTGGTCAGGGCTGAGCATCACCATGTGCTATAGAGAAGCTGGTCTGGGCTGTTCTGGGCTTTGCCCTATGCATTGGGCTGCCCCAGAGAAAAAAATAATACAATTCCAAGTAAAAACCCTTTTTAATAATACATAGGACAGGATTACTTCACCACTGTGATGCTTATGATTGCTTGTTAGACTTGACCGTGACCCTTGAGCTGGAATAGTATCTTATATCTAAATACATTTGAACATACAACCTCTGTGCTTGACTGTATGTCTGCAAATAGCCTGAAGCTCTGATAGCTGTAAGATTTAATCAGCAAGAGACCTAGATTCTCACGGTTGCTTGTGAAGTCCTGGAGCTCTTATCTTTGTGTAAAAATTCTGATTTTTTCGGTCACCTTTCCTCCTCACCACACCGTATGCAGAGACTATTTCACAAGCCATCTGCACAAGACTGACACATAATTAAAGATCTGTGCAAACTTCACCAGAGAATCCTGCCACGGTCGTGAGCAGACCTGCAGCGAGTAACACCTTGCAATCGTCAGTTTCATAACACAGGCACACCCAATAACATATACCCAGTGTACAAAAGGTTATTAAAGATATGATGACAAGCCCAACCACTTATCATTTAACAATAAAGACTTTTCATTTATTTATAGTCCTGTCTTCGAGACCAACCGCTCATGCTTTCACAATGCATTTATTATTTTTTGACACGGCCCATAACGAGCAGGTGTGAATGATTAGAAAAACTTTGTGGTTTCATTCATACTCGGGGAAAACTGAACGAGAAACAGTCAACAAGCTTCAGATCATAGGATGCTGGATTGTTGTATACCACAGACACTGAAAGCTGTCTTCAGGGCTCCTAACATGTGAAGGCTTCCTACCTGAGACTTGGCAAGCTTCTTCTCTAGAATATCCCGCTCCCGTTCCGTCTGTTGGAGTCGTTTGTTCAGCTCAACTATGTCTCCTTTTAAAGAAGCCAGGGCTGCTAGATGAAGCTGAAAGAGAAAAATTACAGTTGGGGAAGTTATGGAGATTACTCAATAATAATTTGATAAAACGTTTATATTATTTTTTTGCATTCATTTAGGATTTAAAGCAAGACACACCTTCTATAGGGAATGAGTACTCGTATAAATTACAGCTTTACATAGGCATGTACAAATAGACCAGGTTGATGTCAATCACCAACTATATATGTACACTATGGCAGCTACATTTGCTCATGACATGTGCAGGCTCCACTTTACAGTACTACATAATAGGCCTGTGTAAAGCTGGCCATACATTGTTTTTTTTCAGCCTGCGGGCTGAACATCAATAACAAAAATGTTTTTATTTTACCAGATTCCTTCAGCCACACTAATCCGTCTAGATCAGGGGCAGGCAAACGCAGGCCCTCCAGCTGTGGTAAAACTACAAATACCATTGTGCATCTGCCTCTAGGGAGTAATGCCTGTGGCTGTCAGTCTTGCAATGCCTCATGGGATTTGTAGTTGCACTACAGCTAGAGGGCCAGCGTTTGCTTACCTCTGGTCTAGATGGACATACTTCGTACAGGGATATTGTATTCTGACTGCCATTCAGAGTACCCAAACAATGACAGCGGCTGATTGAAGGATGGAAGGCTCCGACTGGGCCATCCACTGAGCAAAATTTGGTCAGTTCATCAAGAACCGACAGAGTTTCACTCAGTGTATGGGAAAGCTTGACTATGCCTCACAATATGGGTCTATGTCTAAAGGTGCCCATAGCATGTCCCCACATTGTGGACATGGTAATCATACTTTCCCCACAGGTTATGAATGAACATGAACACTCAGTATGGAGGATTCCTGTTCATTGATAACAGGGGCTGCAGAAAAAGAGATTGAGGACTCTGTTCTCAATTTCTTTTTCTATGTCAAAAGGGAAATATCAGGCGTCTGTTTAGACCCCTGATATTTCCCCAAAGCAAGCCCCCCCACAGTAAAAAAAAAAGATAAATGATAATAAATAAGTAAATAACCCCCCCTCCCCACACATACACACACTCATGCACACAAATTATTAGACCTGTGCAAAGACTAAACATTTGGCAAAACTGGAGCAGAAAAAAAAAAACTGGAGCAGCTGTGCATGGCAACCAATCAGCTTCTATCCAGTTTGTTCCATACACTTTGCGATCATCAAACAAAACCTTTCGTCCGATGATCGAACCGTTGTACGGCGGCCCCATACTGCCCCGATTATCGCAAGGTTCAATCAGCAGTAATTAAAAAAAAAAAGCACCTGGACAAATTGCGGTAATCGGCAGCATGTATTTTCGTTTGCGCATGAGCAGTGTAAATCGTACGAATTTTGACGTACAGAAACGCCACCAACATTGCGAAAATCGTACGATAGACCAAAGTTTTTTAACCTGCTGGATAGTCAAAAGTCGATCGATTGTACAGTATTTGCGGTTGTACACTGCCCATAAACCTTACGAATATCGGATGAAAACGCGATCACATAGAAAAATCGGCCGATATTCGTAAGGTGTATGGGCACCTTAAGATTTGAAAATGAAAGAGAGGCTGATTGGTTGCCATGCACAGCGGCTCCAGATTTTTTTATACTCCAGTTTTGATAAATTCCCTTCTGCGCTCTCAATCTCCTTTTTCTATTTTAAAAGGTAAGTATCAGGGGTCTTTTTAGACCCCTAATATTTGCCTAGGGTCCTCGACAGTAAAGTTAAAAAATAAAATAAAAATACAAAAAAATTAAAGTTTATAAAAAAATGAAAATAAAATATTAAAAAAATGAAAAAAGGGATAGAAAAAAACATTTTCGGTTTCGGTCTGACATCTTTTTTTTGTTTCGGTTTTGAAATGTTCATTTCGGTGCACCTCTATACTGAACAAGTATTAAAATCCACATTGGTCTATGCTTGATGGGCTACTTGAGCTAGAATCGAAAGAGGGTTCTTGGAAGCAACGTAAATTTCAGATCAAAAAAATCTATAGGTGTATAGCCAGCTTTAGTCAATTGGCTGGGCGACTAAAAACAATGCATCTCCTTGTGTGTCTGATATCTAATGTGACTGAAAATGGAGTGTTTGTCCCCTCCACCGGCTAATGTACAAATATGTATATTTAACACAATACCCAAATATCAAAGAGCAAGCCTATAAAAGTCATATCATGAAAAAGGTAAACCCAAAATACATGTATGAAAATAAAGACCAATCACCGTTTTATTATGATGGGGAGAGGGTGAGAGGGCATGGCCACCCACAACTCTTACCTAAAAAGCCATGCTTTGCACATAAAATGATTTCCTGATCTCACTGAACCCACACACTGTTTTCACACACTGTTCATGAATGTCTTCATATGTTTAATTTGGCCATCTAGATTGGAGACAGGTTTACTTTAAAATGACAAAGTAAAAATGAGCACTCCATATCTAGTTAGCACATCCTGCAATAAAAGCAATAGGTTTGGGTGCCTAGAAGTAAATGTAATTTCTGTGTGATACGCTCAATAGGGTGTAGTCAAACTTTGGTCCTCCAGCTGTTGTGGAACTACAAGTGCCATAAGGCACTGCATGGCTCTGGCAGCCACAGACGCGACTCCCACGCAAAGGCATGATGGGTTTTGTAGTTTTAACACAGCTGGAGGGCCAACGTTTAACTAACCCTGCTGTAAATCGTCTACAACTTTTAAAATCCATAACCCTACAAATACATAATTGTGGAGCTGCTTAATACTGCACTGATCATCATGTAATAAATCATGCTAAGTTATGGTAGGTTTGCAGTCCATTTACATAGTAATGGCCTGCAGGAAAGACCCCCATTTATGAAGGTCCTGCTGTGAAACATGGATATTTTTTCTTTCTGGATATTACTGGTAATACATCAGATTCAAGCCATGTTGTACAGATGACCAGCATCAGCACCACTTACACAGCACTTATCTTGAAATTGTCATGTGAAGCAATCAGAAGAGACATTTATTTTGATATTCCTGCTTGCCTGAAAGGCCTTAGACCAAGTGCGGTCACAGTAAGTGTGATTTATGACTTCAGTGGCTAAAGCGTTCGATTGTACAGTCGTTCCATTACAGCGCGGCACAACTGTACTTCCCTGTATCAACCAATTTACGGAAACACAGGTACAAGGAAAAACTGCTGAAACCCAAAGACATTAGTGAAGAACCTATCTTGCTGCAAGTAAATTGTTCAAATGTGAAGAACGTATTTTCATGTTCTAAACCTAAAAAGAAAATTTAAAAAAGTTGAAACATATATGCATTTCACAGTGTTACACATCAAAGAATGTAAAATTCTTGCCAACCTCGTTTGTAATTGAGGGCCTGTTCACACTATGTGCGGCGACTGGCATTTTTCAGAACTGGACCAATGCCAGTCACCACTAGGTCACAAAGAAAACAATTGATTTATATGAGCCCTGTTCACACAACAATGTCATGTGTGATGGGATGCAGTGAAATGCAAACGACATACTACATTTTTCAGCAGCACACTGGATGCCACTGCACCACAATGTAAAGTGCTACCGTGTGGAGTCATTAGAGCAGGGGTGCCCATAAGGTCGATCGCAATCTACCAGTCGATCTCCCTGCTGCTCTCCCCATCCGAATCAGAGAAGAAGTGAAGGAACCGGCGCCCGAGGAGGACGGAGACACAGAAGAGAGACAGAGACACGCTCGGTCTGGATCTCAGCCAGCGTCTCTCTCTTCCATCACCCCTCGGCCTCAGTTCTGCGACAGGCCCCCACAAAGGAGGATAAGACGCCGGGGCCTCTAGGACGCACTGGAATGTAAGCCGGCCGACTCTCTGCGTTCAGGGGTGGGAGGGGGTGTAGGGTTATATTGAAGTCAATGGCACCGCAGGCATGCCCCCCGTCCACAGTGCGATCGCTCGCACCCGGAACGCAGGCACATTAGTGCCTGCATTCCGGTCCAGTGCGATCTGCAAAAATAGTGCTTGCAGCATTTTTGCAAGGCGCACTGGACTTGAACGCAGGCACTAATGTGCCTGGGTTCCGGGTGCAGGCGATCGCACTGTGGACGAGGGGCCTGCCTGCGGTGCTATTGACTTTAATGCACCGACACGCCCCCTCCCGCACCTGAATGCAGGTGTTTTTTCGTTGGAAAATCTGATTGAGCTCGTCATTTGAAAAGTAGATCTCCAGACGAAAAATTGTGGGAGCCCCTGCATTAGAGTGTACACCGCAAATAAAGTTAAGAAAACAAAAAGTAAACATTGCTTTGCCTTGTAGCAACGCAAAGCACCGCTGCTCAGTGCTGCCACCTAGTGGACACTAGCCGCATGGTCCCTAGGCCCCATTCACACCTAGGCGTATCGTAATATGCGCGTCTGTCGCGCGACCGTCACGTGGTTTTTTTACCGCGATTCGCGGTAAAAAAGTCGCGCGACCATCGCGCGATTCCAAAGGCTACTTGGCAGTATCCAAATGGAAAACGCCCTACAAAACGGCCCAAAGTAGTCCCGGGACCTTTTCAGGCGTGGGCCGTTTTGTAGGGTGTTAGGGACGGGCGGAAATACGCCTAGGTGGGAACGAGGGACTTGACTACAATGCAATTTATATTTTTGACCGTTTAGTAGAGCGTTCATCGAGCGTAGAACGCCCTACAAAACGGTCAGGTGTGAACGCAGCCTTACTCTCCTCTTCCTCACCATACAGCTAGACAGGTGGTACACCTACTTCCTGGTTCAGTAATTCAGCTTTGTGCATTCCTCCGTTACCTCCCCACCTCCAGTAAGTGGGCAATGAAACGGCATCATTAGTTCTGATCCATGCAGCAGTGAATTTGACCCAGCATATGGCAATGGTAAATCAGGAAGTAGCAGAGTGATCAAAGTTGCGTGTCTCAAAAGAATGGCTGCACAAACACCACAAACCATTTTGTAGCCAAAAAACATAATACTTATCATGACCATGCATTTATCTGTTTTTCTAAGTTTCTGTTTTAATGTGACATTAAAG